TCCTTGACACAGTTTACCTGACATATCTCTGCCTCACCATGGCCTGGCCTCCAGATTCCGATTAACCTTTAGTCTTTTACTTATGAAGTCAAAATTATTGTCACCAGAGTTAGAAACTGTTGGAAAAGTCCCCAGGGATCTCAGCGATCTTGGCTTCAGAGCAGTTCAGCTCAGGCAGCTTGGATTTCTCTTGTTCACCTTCCCTTTCATCTTTTCTCCTCCAGCCTTCAGCATCTGGTGGGGTGTTTTTGTTGTTGTTTTTTTGCATTTTTCCCCTAATGAAAGCAGTTGAGAATGGGGTTCATCTTTTCAAATTGGGAAGCCTTATTTGACTCGACTGAGGAAACCACTGGAGGGGTTGGATGATGCCCCAGTTTCTTCCTGACATTCAAGGTGCATAGACGTTACAGTAAAGAACAAGGACGATGGAGAAGGGCCCCAGCAAGGCGCACGAGCTGGACCGGCAGCGTTTGTGCTGATGGCGCAGTGGTCAGGGGAGACTGTACAGCAGTAGGCGCAGTGCTGTGTGCCAGCCTGACCTCGGGTAACTCTCTGGAGAAGCAGCAAATGGCAGCACTTACGAAGCTGTGACAAGGTGTTGTTCTTTCTGCCTTTGCTTGAGGTTTGAGTCCTCAGGGTCATCGCCAGGAAACTCTAAAATGGTGTGCTCTGGGAACCGAAACGCCTTGTGACTATGACACAGCAGATGTCACCCTCCACGAGCTGCAGCAGTCACAGTCTCCATTCGTCATCGGTTTGCTTCTCTTATCAGCTAATTCTCATGTTAATAAACAAAACAAGAGGAGAGTAGAGCGGCGTGTGAAGATACTTGTCATTCTCCCATTGAGTCTACTTGGAGACACTGGAGAGGAGGCTGCACTAGTTAGAGCAGCAGCTCCCCAACAGACGTGTCGTCTGCCAACACTGCAGGGCCCAGCTCCCCACTGCAGGGCCCGCCGCCTGGCTCATGTACCTCGAAGTCATGGGAGCCGCTGGGACCGAGCACGCGTCCCTTACTCAGCTAAGGTGAATCTGTGTCTGGAAATCGCAGAGCAGAGTTGAGGCTGCACGGCTGATTTGCAGTTCATTGTCCGGTCAGCAAATACCTAATAAAAGCAAGAACCTTGAGAGCCGTTATTAGACAGTAAACAAGATGGCCTTCTGCGGCTTGACTCTCAGGTCACTGTCGGCTGTTTGCGCTTTATCCCTCCTGCGTCCCTGACCACCTCCTCCTGCCAGCTGAATGCCTCTCCTTCCTCCACTGTTCCTTCTGCCCTGGTCTGAGCGTGCTGCTCTGTCCCTCACAGGTTCCCCCTGCAGCTGCCCTCGACCTCAGAACCTCGTCCCTCTCTTCGCGTGATGTGGCCGGCCTCAGTCCCACAAAGCCTTTTTGTTCATTACTGGTTTCAGTTTTTTGTAACAAATTATTTAGCTTGTTATCTATTATTGCCTTTGAGGTGAATTGGAATTCTCCTGTATTCTGACTGAGATAGCAAGTCAGTTTCCAAGCATTATAAGGCTTTCTGTAAAAAAGGGAATACAAAATGAGTGTTTTGGTATTAAAATTGAGTTGTACGATACGTGATTACTATTTTCATTAGATTAACTTTTTATTTGTCAATAGAAACATTGTTTTCTAAATTATAAGCATACATATTAGTTAAAGTGTTTGAAATCTCATTCATGAATTATTGCCTTTTTCTACATTGATTGTCAGTTACGCTATAATTAGGATAGTTAACAGCGTAATTGAACAGCATAATGGGATTTAGAAGATTGGACTTAACTTATTAGTTCTATTCTACGTGCTGTGAAGGAGTTCCTGGGTATCATAAACAGTTACATTAAATTCTCAGCTTACTATTCAAAAGGCTGGTGGTTTGAACCCACCAGAGATGCTTTGGTTTCAGAGCCAGTGGGTGGATTTGAACTGATTGATACTGATTGGTAACCTTTTGATTAGTGGCCAGGAATGTAATCACAGTGCCACCAGTGGAATGTCTTGAGACCAAAACCCAGAAAATCCTCAGGAAGGAAGCAGACTCACCTTTGTAGGTACCGAGCTGTTTCCTCAGTGCTTGACAGCCAGCGCTTGCCTTCAGACCTGAAATACCTACTTGTGTCTAGCTATCTCTCTCAGGACTCCTAAGTTCCTGGACTTTTGACAAAACTCAGTACCTTGCCCAGAACATACCAGTTATCAATACATACTTGTTGAGTGGAATCATTTGTTAATATGTTTATGATCGGTTCTGCCAGTGTTGAGCCTGCTTTTAATTTTGCACCCCACCCCCACACTTTTATAAATTGGGCTACTTGCCCAAGCTAAGTCCTTTGAGAATTCTTTTGTGATGATAATAATAGCTTCATTCTTAGGCCTTCACTTTAAACTTCTGGACTAATTTTTAAAGATCATTGCTTTATTTATTTATTTTCCTTTTTCAGTTGTTGTTGTGTGCCGTTGAGTCACCTGCAACCCATAGTGGCCCTATGAACAGAAGCTTTGAACCCTGCCCTGTCCTGAGCCAGTCTCGCTAATTCCAACACACCGTACCCCTAGTGTCCCAGTTGCTGTATCAGTCTATCTCATCTGGGGTCATCTTCTCCTGCACTATCCTTCCGCCCTTCTGAGCATGATGTTCTTTCCCAAGGACCAGTCTCTCCTGGCCATATGCCCAAAGTATGTAAGACAGAGCTTCAAAATCCTAGCCTCCAAGGGGAAACTTGGTTTCTCCCTCTCCAGGGCAGAGCTGTTTGTTTTCTTGGTGGTCCATGGTATGCTCAAGACTCTTCTCCAGCACCACAATTCAAAGGCATCGATTCTTCTGTCATCCTTAGTCATGTCCAGCTCTCTGCTGGAAAGCAATTAATTATGAAAACCATGGCCTGGATTAGGTGCACCATAGTCTCTAGACTGACATTGTTGTTTTTCGGTGCTCTAGAGAGATCCCAGACAGCAGACCCAGTGCAATTTGCCTTTTAATTTCTGGACTGCTGGTGTTAAGAACGTTGGTGGTGGAGCAGTGCTAACCACTGGGTCAATTGGCAGCACCATGGTGGCTGGAAAAGAGATTGGTTTTAACAGTTACAGCTTGCTCAGCTCCACAATCAATAATTTTTTATTATGGAATTTAAAAAAAAATCATATGAAAGCAAAGAGAATAGTGTAAACTCATATGTATAACAATATTTTACTGTAGCTGAATTATTAACATTTTTTTCTAGGTTTGTAAGTCTCCTCTTTTCTTATTTCTTGGAATATTTTAAAGCAAATACCAGACATTATGTCATTTTTCTATAAACACTGAAATACGTGTGAAAAAAACTGGGGGAAAATTTCATACCATTTTTACCTCTAACAAAATTAGAACTGATTTTGTCCTAATCGTGAGCTACTCTTCTCCATTACCGTTGCCAGGTGGTGGGTTAGAATGCCGACTTCACGGGCAGTGGTGCGTTACTGCCCAGGTGGCAACTCAGGGCAGCTGAGTGTGTACCTGAAAGCTGCAGGCTGAGGTGATGAGCGGGCAGTAAGCTGCTTATTGCTGTCAAGTTGACTCTGATTTATAACAACCCACAGGGCAGAGTAGAACTGCCCCAGGGTTTCTAGGGTCTCCAGCACGGAAGTGGACTTTGTCCCACAGGTGCGGAGTGGCAGTGTGCCTGTTGACCTTTTGATTAGAAGTCAGCGTGAATATGTTTACGGCGTTGAAGTCTATGGGGGAGAGAATAGTCTTAAAGTATTATATTTTAGGGCATTATTTTTATCGTAGGAGTACGCAATAAGGGTTGCAGAGTGGATTATATTTGGGGGTAGCGGGTGGGGTTTGGGGAGGTGCGGTGGGGGGGTTGTGTACCAATGAGGGAGTTTTGCTTTTCAAGGAGAGGGGCAAAGGGGGAGGGGAGGGAGGGAGGGGATTTGTGCGGGGGGAGAAGGGTGTAACAATGAATGAATGGAATTCCAAAAAAACAACAACAAAAAAACCCACACCATATAACAAAAGAAAAAAAAAAGAAGTCAGCATGTAACCACTTGCACCAGCAGCTTCTCATTGACGGACATCTTAAAATTTGAAATTAATCTGTAAGATTATTTTAATGCATAAAATAACTTTCTTGTGCTTTAGCTTTCACTGAGATGCAAAATGGACTCCAGCTTATATTTTTTTATTTCTAAAGAATTGGTTTTCAAAGTACCAAAGTAGCACATACTTGTTGTTGTAATGTAGACTCAGATTTTGTTTTGGTTTTAAGTAAAAACTGTGATCAGTCTCACCACCCAGAGATAAACTGTTACCAATGTATGAGTACTTTTCCCCAGATGTATTCTGTGGTGTGTACATGCAAGGCCAGCTGTGAGGTTCTCTTAGAGAGAGTGCCCTTCTGTTACCACTGAGTCTCTATCCCTAGTATGGTGCGTGGCAGGCTGGGAGGAGATATGTGTGTATACATGTGAAGCTCCATCTCACATCCTTTGGGCACGTGGCCAGGAGGGACCAGTCCTGGGAGAAGGACATCATTCTTGGAAGGATGGAGGGACAGCACAAGAGAAGACGACCCCGGATAAAATGACACAGTAACAACTAGACTAATGGGGCTAGGAGTGTTGGAGTCAGTGAGATTAGCTCAGTATAGAGCAGGCTTCAGAGCTGTTGGACATAGGGTTGCTGTGAGTTGGAGGTGACTAGGTGACATGTAACAACAAGTGTATGTATATAGGAATTTCTGGTGGCCTAGTGCTAAGAGGTTTCACCATCAACCTAAAAGCATCTAGCTGTTCTAAGGGAGAAGGATGGACAGTCTCCTCCAGTGTCATTTACAGCCTCTGAAAACCCATTGAGTGGTTCCAACTTGATAGTTCACAACAACATAATGTATGTGTGTGTATTTAGATAAAACGTATACATTCATATATGTGTGTGTGTTTATAACCTGTTACAGCCGATCATAGGCTGTTGTATCCTCCCATCTGTTCACTGGTCTTCTGTCTTGTTTTTCAGTGGATGAATACATTGCAATTGCTAAAGAGAAGCATGGGTACAACATGGAGCAGGTAATGACACGCTTTCCCTTTTGTTTCTGAGAATGTGTTTGTTCTGGCTGCCCATTCCATTTCCCTCGTGCTGTTGAGTGGCAGTAGTTCTAACTAGCCACGTCCTGGTATTACCAGCAGTGGGATATAAGAGATTCACGGAGCAGCCCTGGTCCCTGTCCCAGGGTGAAGTGCTTGATTAGAAAGGCCTCTGCACATTTCTGTAGGTCTGCGTCCGTTTGAGCGGTGACATCTTAAGGTCCAATACACTGCCTTGTGTGTCGCTCTGGTTATGGGAGTCTCTTTTTCCTGAGCCACATTACACAGTTCAAACATTAATTGTTTTCATAATCATTATTTGGAATCATTTCCAGGTTTTAAAAATTTGACTGACTTATAAAAAACTTCTTTATAACTGATGAGAAGTCAGTAAGATTCTCCCCACCCCAAGTGTAATGAAATTTTATTTATTTTTAATTACTGTTTCAAGCATATTAAATGGAATTTAAGCTTGTCACGGCATTTGTGTAGAGCCTCCAACCTGTACATTACTGTCCTTGCTCATCTGTGCTAAGGACAGAAGAACTGGACTATTTCATTTTTTTACTGTACTTGCTTGGCCCTGGTGGCCTAGTGGTAAGAAGCTATGCTGCAATCCCAAAGGTCCAAAGGTTTCTGCTCTGTGAGAGAAAAATGGGCAATCTCCTCCTGTGCAATTTATTGCCTTTAAAAACTCACCAGAGGGTCAGCTATGAATCTGTTCATTTTTTACTGTACTTTTAATTATTCTGTGTCCTGATGGGTTACAAGTTGGTTTGTCAACCTGAAGATGAGAGGTTTGAGTCCACCAGTGGCTCAGAATGAGACTGGTTAGGCTTCTGTTCAAACTAGATTTCTGTCCCCCAAAGCCAGCGGAGGGTCACTGTGAGTCAGAACTGACTTGAGGCAGCGACTCTGAATATCTGTTTGTTTGGTTTTGGTCATCGAAGGGACTCAGAAACCTCACAAAGGAAAATGAATCCCAGAATCCTTCTGACCAAGAAACATGTGCTTCTCTTATTTCAGACTTGCATGTGGACTTCAGTAGGTTGCTCAGAAAGTATTAACTTTATTTGTTTTTGTTGTTGTTGTTGTTGTTGTTGTTATGTGCCATCGAGTCGCTTGCAACTCATAGCGACCCTATGTACAACAGCCCTAAACTCCGCTCTGT